GGAGCTACTGCAAGTCCCATGCTACCCGCAGGAGCAGCAGCAGCAGCAGCAGCAGCAGCAGCAGGGGGTGGGGTTCCGGCCTTTCACAACTCTGTCCCATCCTATTCTCCTCTCGCTGGTGGAAACCCATCCTTTGCCCCGAATTCCCATGGGCTCGCTTCTTCCCATGCTCACGCCACCGCCGTTGCCCATGCTGCCTCCACTCCCCCCCCGCAGCTGTTTGCTTCCCCGCTCACTGGTGCACCGCTGGCACCAGGGGGGCAGGGAGCGGAGAAGGGGGGGAAGGGGGCGGGAGAGGCAAAGGGGCCTGGTGGAGTGGTGGGTGCGGGAGGAGAGGGGGGAGTGGACCAGCAGACGAGGTGAGAACATGCTACTCAAAGAGCATTCCTGTGTTTCTCTTCAAACTTTTGTGCTGCTCTTTGCACTTATGTGTTTCAATACAGGCTGCGCATGGGGCTGCCATCAGCCATGCCTGCCACTACAGACAGCAAGGACAAGTGGCCGCCGCAGCTGCAGCAGTCACCCCTCTTCACCTTATGTCCCCTCGTCCCCTCCCCTTCCCCTCTCCCGCTCCTACCGCCCCTGCCCCTCCCCACAGGCTGCGAATGGGACCACCGTCAGCCACGGCCACCACTACAGACAGCAAGGACCAGTGGCCGCCGCAGCAGCAGCAGTCACTGCGCTCTAACAAGCTTGAGCTTGATCTCATGGTATGGGCGTGTGTGGTGTAGGGGCTTTCCATCTCTTGCCCACAACTTACCAGGTTTTTGTTTCCAAATCGGTTGACCAACTGCCTTGTACAACTTACTAGGTGTTTGTGTGTGTGTGTGTGTGTGTGTGTGTGTGTGTTTTTTTTTTTTCTTTTCTTCTTTCCTTTTTTCCAAATCCGCTAATCCCTTTCCCTCCTTACCCTGCTCCCCCTTCTCGCCCCCCTTGTCCCCCACCCCGCTCTCCCCCTACCAAGCAGTCCCCACCCGGCAACGGTCTTTCGCTGCTGGTTCCGAGTTCAGAGCGGTTGGGAGCGGTGGACGAGGAGGAGACAGCGGAAGGGGAGAGCAAGACGCATGTGCAACGTGGCATGGTGAGTGTGTGTTGCAGTGTGGTATGGTGCGGTATGATGTGGTGTGGTGTGGTGTGGTGGCATGGTGGTGTGTATGGTCTGTGGTGTATGGTGGGCAGGCTTGAGGGAGTGTGTGCGATTTACAGTGCCGTATGGAGAGTCCTTCTCATCCTCCCCGTCCGCGTCTGATGAGTCGGCGTGTGATGAGTCGACTTACAGTGCCGTATGGCGAGTCCTTCTCATCCTCCTTTGGTCTTTTCATCTTTCTCTTCTGTTTGGTTTTTGTTTTGTTTTTTTCCCCCATCATGTGCCATTTTATCCTTCTCTTCCCCGTCTCATCCCTCTCTTCCCCCGCTGTTTTTATTCTCCTTTTCCCCGTCTGATCCCTACAGCCACCACCAGCAGCAGGCGTTACACACAAGCACATGGGAGGGGGATTGGCAGGAGGAATAGGAGGACGAGGAGGCGGATTAGGAGTAGGGTTAGGAGGCGAAACTCCCAAGGAAGGGGTGGGAGGGAGAGCGGAGGGGGATCTTAATATGGAAGCTAGGCTTAGAAAAACTCCTTCCTTGAATAAAGGCGAGGAGGCCGTTGGATCCAGAAAGGGGTTTGATCTGATGCTGCTGAATGCCGAGGCAGAGAGAGGCAGGGAGAAGGAGAAGGAGACAAGGGAAAGGGATGGGCGGAAGGAGGCGGGGCGGGGTAAGGGGAGGGAGAAGGAGGAGAAGGACAAGGGGAGGGCGGAGAAGGGGAGGGAGAGGGGGAGAGGAGGGAGGGAGCAGGAGGTGCAGAGTAGGATGGAAGATGGGAAGGAGGAGAGGAAGGAGGGGGTGCTGCTGCAGAGATCTGGCAGTCAAAGAGGGGCGACAGCGAGGGGGGCGAAAGGAGACGCTAAGGGTGCGTCCAGGGATCGAGCTGCTGGTTCGTCTCCTGTGGTGGGGCCTATGTCCCCAGGAGCCGTAGGGTTGGGAGGTGCGGGTTTAGGAGTGGCAGGAGCGGCAGCAGGAAGCACGGTGGTTGGAGCAGCAGGAGCGGCTTTGAACCTGTCTGCTCCTGAAGCAGCAGCAGCAGCAGCTGCTGCTGCAGCCGCAGCAGGAGGAGCAGGAACAGGAGGAGGGGGGGGGGGGAGCATTAGGGGCAGCACCAGCTATCCAGCATCCCCCAGGGGCGCCCTCCCGCGCAGGAGCCCCCCCAGTGCCCATAATGCCCGCAGGCTTCCCCCCTCCGCCCGCCCACCTTGCCCCCATGCACCACACTCCCCCCGGCATGCCCCACAATCCCCCTGGGATGCCCCCATCCGGGGCACCTACTCACGGAGCAGCAGCAGCAGCAGCAGCCGCAGCGGCTGCAGCAGCGGCAGCTGCTGCGTCTATGCCTTTGCCGTTAGGGTTGGGAGGGTGGCCGATTCCTGGGATTGGGTTTTTCCCTCAGGCTGCAGCTGCGGCAGCAGCGGCTGCAGCTGCTGCTGGGTGGCCCCCTCCCTCTGCTGGAGGCCCCTCCTCGCTTCCCTCCTCTCTCCCCTCCTCTCTTGCCTCGTCTCTCCCCTCCTCGCTTCCCTCGTCTCTCCCCTCTTCCCTCCCTGCCTCCCTGTCGCATACAGGGCCGTCACTGCTCCAGCATGCTGGAGTGGCGTCACTGGCACATGCAGGGAGGGACGATGGGGTCTCCTCACCTGCTCCTCCTGGCCATGTAAGTCACTGTGGCTCCCTTCCCAGTTGTGAGTCGAACAAGGGTTCAAAATTAGGGTTGGGGTTCAGGGTTCAGGGTTTGGGTTTAGAGTTGCACTGTCAGTACTCCAGCATGCTGGAGTGGCGTCACTGGCACATGCAGGGAGGGACGATGGGGTCTTGTCCCCTGCAGCCATGCTGCTGTGAGCGCCACTCCTGGTCACGTAAGTTGGCTGCTTTCCCTCGCAGGTGGCGATTAGCTGTCTGTGAGTGGTGATTTCCTTTCCCAGTTGTGAGTCACACTTCAGCCGCTGAGACACACTCGGCATCATCACATCGCTGCTGCATCATGCCCTTTCTCCCTTGCTGGCCCCGCTCATACTCCCCCTCCCCCCACTCTTCCCCCACCCCCTACACCCCCTCTCTCCCCCACACCCATCCCCCGCCCCGCTTCTCGCCCCTCTCGCCCTCCAGCCGTCGCAGCACACTCTCCCTCAACCGCCCCCAGGCTTACTCCCTCTGCCTTCGCAGCAGCAGCAGCAGCAGCTGCACGGGCGGCGGCCTTGGAAACGTTGTGCTCTGCACGTTTACATCGCCCACTTTATTGAGCTCAACCGGCATGTAGCACGTCAACAGCAGCAGCAACAGCAACAGCAGCAGCAGCAACAACAGCAGCAGCAGCAACAGCAGCAGCAGCATCACCACCACCCGTTCTACCCCCCGCATTTCAGCAACTATGCAGCGGCGGCAGCGGCGGCGGCAGCAGCAGCGGTAGCAGCTTCAAAGCAGCAGCCTCCGTATGGGATGGCCATGCCGGGGCATATTCCTGGTGCGCCTCCCTTTGGCTTGCAAGCAGGTGGGGCAGCAGGCGGAGCAGCAAGTGCAGCAGCAGCGGCAGGTGCAGCGGCAGCGGCAGCGGCTGCAGCAGCAGGGGCGGCAGGCGGGGCAGCAGGTACAGGTGTGGCTCAAGCTCCCCTGCCTTCCGCTCTCCCTGTTCCTCTCTCAGCCCCCCCAACAGTCTCTGCTGCCGCTGCTGCTGCCGCTGCCGCTACCGCTGCAGTAGCTTCGGCAGCTGCAACTTCGACGGCGCCAGCATCGGCAGCTGCATCCGCGCCCGGTGCAGCAGGTTTGGCGCCTGGAGCTTCTCCGAGCCTCCCACACGGTTTGGGAACGGGTGCAAGTGGGGCAGGGGCAGGGAAGGATAAGGTGGTTACTGGTGGGGGCGTAGCTGCTGCTGCTTCTGCTGCTGCTAGCGGTAATATATCAGCAGGAGGGAAACATCAGAACCTGCAGCATTCTCAGCAGCAGCAACAGCAACAGCAACAGCAACATCAGCAACAGCAGCACCAACAGCAACAGCAACAGCAACAGCAACATCAGCAACAGCAGCAGCAACAGCAACAGCACCAGCAGCAACAGCAGCAGCAACAGCAGCAACAGCAGCAGCAACAGCAGCAACAGCAGCAGCAACAGCAGAAACAGCAGCAACTGCACCACCAACAGCAGCAACAACAGAAATTGCAGCAGCAGCAACAGCACCACCAGCAACCCCACCAGCAGCAACAACAGCAGCCACAGCAACCGAAGCAGCTGCCGCAGCAGGAGCAACAGCAGCAGCAGCAAGTCCAAGGACCAGCCCAGGCTGGCCTGCAAGCAGGCGTTGCTGCTGCTGCTGCTGCAAGTGGCACAGCTGCTACAGCTGCTGCCTCTGCTACTGCTGCTACAGTTGTCACAAGACCAGCTGGTCCGATTCCTGCTAACTCCCCCATGTCGTTGCCTTTGCCTGCCTCTCCTGCCATACCTCCTGCCGGACCTGCTGCCGGACCTGCGCCCGGGCCTGTTCCCAGGGCTCCTGTTCCTGGTGCCAGACCTGTTCCAGGCTCGGAAGGAGGAGAGAAAAATGGCGTGAGCAGAGGGGTCAGTGGGCAGGTGGCAAGTATGGTTGGTGCTTCAGGTTCGGCAATACCTTCAGCTATGGCAAGTCCCACTGCACCTGCTACAGCCGCTGCTGCTACAGTTGGTGCTATGACCAGTGCTGCTGCCGGTGCTGCTACAACCAGTGCGGTGACAGGCGGTGCTGTGGGTGTAACAACAGGTGCAACAGGAGCAGCAGCAGGAGCCGCAGGGGTAGCAGCAGGAGGAGGAGCAGCAGCAGGACCACAAGTGCTGCAAGGGCAGGCAGTGAAGCTAGGTTCCGCAAACCAGTCAATGATGGCTCAGCACGGGCAGGTTTCTGGGCAGGTTCAGGGGCAACTGAAGCCGCAAGGAGCAGCAGGAAACGCACCCTCAGGAGGGCCCTCAGCTGCTGGGAAAGCTCTGGAGGGAATGGTAAGGCGAGAGGAGGCAATAGGGAACCATGTAGGGGGGCCGGTCTCCCCTGCTGTACCAGCAGCAGCAGCAACGGTAGCACCAGGGAAGGCACTTGCGCAGGGGCAGAATCAGGTGCAGGTTCAGGCACAGGGGCAGGGGCAGAATCAGGGGCAGATGGCGCATGTGCAACGAGTGGCAGGTGCTCCGGTTCAGAGCGGTGCTGCAGGGGGGCCGTCCACCCACCTGAGAATACCTGGGCTTTTCCCCGCAGGGGTGGTTCAGGCAGGGGTGGCACAGGCAGGGGCGGCACAGGCAGGGGCGGCACAGGCAGGGGCGGCACAGGCAGGGGCGGCACAGGCAGGGGCGGCACAGGCAGGGGCAGCACAGGCAGGGGCGGCACAGGCAGGGGCGGCACAGGCAGGGGCAGCACAGGCAGGGGTGGCACAGGTAGGGGTGGCACAGGTAGGGGCGGCACCGGCAGGGGTAGGGCAAGGGGTTGGGCAAGGGGTTGGGCAAGCAAGTGCAGGGCAGGCGGGAATGGGACAGGCAGGGGCAGTGGCACGAGGGTCTGGACAGGCAGGGGTGGGGCATCCAGGGGCGGTGGCAGCAGGGGCGGCTCAAGCAGGGGCGGTTCAACCAGGGCCGGTTCAACCAGGGGCAGTGCCAGCAGGTGTTATCCAGAGGCCAGGAGGGCAGGGATTGGGGATGGGGCTACCAGGTGCGGTGCTGCCAGGGAATGCGGGGCAGCATAAGGGGAGTACTCTATTACCACCTCTGTTGTTGCCACAGCAGCAGCTGGGGCAGCAGCAGCAGCAGCACCTGAATGTCCTTCCATGTGTGGCTGCTGGATCGCCATCGCCTCCGCTGCCACTGCCGCTGCCACAGCAGCAGCAGCAGCAGCAGTTGGGCCAGCAGCAGCGGCAGCAGCAGCAGCAGCAGCAGCAGCAGCAGAAGGGGAATGTCCTTCCACGTGTAACCGGCGCCTCACCATCTCCACCGCTGCCACAGCAGCAGCTGCAGCAGCAGCAGGGGCAGCTGGGGCAGCAGCCGCATGTTGGGATGCAGCAGAGACCTGTGTTGCTACCACGGCTGCCACAGCCGCAGCAGCAGCAGCAGCAGCAGCAGCAGGCGAAGCCAACACAGTTAGCACCACATAAAGTGCTATTGCCAAAGCTGCAGCAACAATCCCAGCAGTCTCTACTGAACCAGCAGCAGCAACAGCCCCTGCAGCAGCAGCAGCAGGTGAGGGAGGGGCAGGAACCAGTGCAGAAGAGAATGAGAACGGAGAAGCAGCAGGTGCAGGGGGTAGCAACAGCAGGGCAGGCAGGCACTGTGGGGGCAGGCAGTGGTGCAGGGGCAGGGAACGCTAACGGGGCTGGTGCTGCTGTTGCTCCTGGTTTGAAGCCGCAAGGAAGGCAGATGCAGCCGGGACAGGTGGTATCAGGGCAAATGCTACCAGGACAGGTGCTATCGGGGCAGGTGCAGCCGGGACAGGTGCTACCAGGGCAGGTGCTACCAGGGCAGGTGCTACCAGGGCAGGTGCTACCAAGGCAGGTGCTACCAGGGCAGGTGCTACCTGGGCCGGTACCGCTGGCCCAGGTGCAGCCGGGGCAGGTGCAGCCGGGGCAGGTGCAGCCGGGGCAGGTGCAGCCGGGGCAGGTACAACTCCAGCCCAGGCAGGTGCCCCCGGGACAGGTGCAGGCAGGGCAGGTGCAGCTGGGGCAGGTGCCACCTGTTGCAGCAGCACCTGTTGTGGCACCTGTTGCAGCAGCACCTGTTGTGGCACCTGTTGCAGCAGCAGCAGCGTCCGTGGCACCAACACCAGCAGCAGCACCAGCAGCAGCAGCACCAGCAGCATCTGTGTCAAATCCTGTTGCACCACTGCCTGTTCCACTAGGGGCGCAGGGGCAGGCGCAGGGGCATGGGCATGGGCCTGCTGAGAAGGTGGTATTTGGGCAGGTGCTTCCAGGGCAGGTGCTTCCAGGGCAGGTGCCACCTGGCAAGGAGTCGGCAGTTTCCATTACAAACCTAGGGAGCAATGCAGCAAAGGCCACAGAGCAGCAGCAGCAGCAGCAGCAGCAGCACAATAAAGGTGTGCCTGTGCCTCCAGCACCACTCACGTGTGCTATCAAGGGAAGTCCTGTTCCTGTTCCCTCTGCACAGGCGTCTGCTGCTAAGGTTGCTCCTGTGCTTGTTCCGTCTGCACCCGAATCCGCTCCGAAGGTTGCTCCCCTGCTTGCTCCCGCCTCAGCACACGAATCTGCCGTCAAAGTGGCTCCTCTGCTTGTGCCTCTCCCCCCTGCCCAAGCCCCCCCACTGAGGCCGCGCACTCCTGTTCCCCCAACCCCTGTTCCCCCCGCTCCACTCCCCCCCACCCCCGTTCCCCCCACCCCAGTTCCCCCCACCTCCGTTCCCCCTATCCCCGTTTCCCCCGCCTCCGTTCCCCCCACCCCTGTTTCGCCAGTTCCAGCTTCCCTCATTCCTGTTCCCCTCAACCCCGTCCCCACCACTGCTGCTCCCCCTACTCCCGTTCCCTTGACTGCTGCCGCTCCCCCTACCTCTGTTTCCCCCACTGCTGCTTCCTCTCCTGCTGCTCCCTCTACCGCTCCTGCTGCAGCGCATTTAGCGCATGTAGCTTCGGCAACACCTGTAGCGCCTGTAACTTTGGCAGCACCTGTAGTGCCACCTGTAGCGCCTGTAGCTTTGGCAGCACCTGTAGTGCCACCTGTAGCTCCTGTAGCTTTGGCAGCACCTGTAGTGCCACCTGTAGCGCCTGTACCTTCGGCAGCACCTGTAGCACCTGCCTTCGGAATGCCAGTTGCGCCGTTGCCGCAGGCAGCGCCTCCATCTGTAGCGCCTGTGGTAATGCCTGCTGTTGCGCCTGCTGTTGTGCCTGCTGTTGCGCCTGCTGTTGCGCCTGCTGTAGCGCCTTCCGTACCGACTACGTTAGTTCCTGCTGAACCTGCTGTAGCGCCTGTGGTAATGCCTGCTGTAGCACCTGCTGTAACGCCTGCCGTACCACCTGCGGTAATGCGTGCTACAACACCTGCTGTAGCGCCTGGTGCAGCACCTGCGGTAACACCTGCTGCAGTGGAAGCAACTGCTGTACCCCCTGTAGCGATTGTAACGCCTGCTCCCTCTGATGTTAAAGGAGAGTCAGCAGCAGCGCCAGGAGCAACGAGTGTAGCAGCAGCAACAGCAGCAGTTGCAGCAGGAGCAAAAGCAGCAGCAACAGCAGCAGCAGCAGTCGCAACAGCAGCAAAAGCAGCAGCAGCAAAAGCAGCAGCAGCAGCAACAGGAACAGCGGCAGTGGCAGCAGGGACAGCACCACCAGAGCCTGCGGCTGCTGCCACAGCGACTGCTGCTGCGGAAACAGCAGCTGAAGAGGCAGCTTCTCGAGAAGGAGCTTTGCCAGCAGCAACGGTACCAGCAGCAACGGTACCAGCAGCAACGGTATCAGCAGCACCAGAACGAGCAGCAGCAGCACCTACATTTGCAGCAGCACCACCACCAGAAGCAGCGCCATCAGCAGCGCTGTCAGTACCAGCAGTGGTACCAACAGCACCAGAACAAGCAGCAGCAGCACCACCAGCAACAGCAGCACGATCAGCGGCACCAGAGCGAGCAGCCAGAACGACCCTTTCAGTTGCAGCACCACCACCAGTGGTAGCAGCACTAGCGGGAACTGAAGCAACCACACCCACAGTCACACCGCTTACAGTCACAAACACAACTGGAACCACACCCACCTTTGTGACACCCATGGTGACACCAACAGTGATGCCTACATTGACACCTACAGTGCCACCCACAGCCATAGTGACACCCACAGTTACACCCGTGGTGACACCCGAAGTGACACTAACAGTGACACCCGCAGCCATAATAGCTCCCACGGTGACACCTGTGGTGACACCCGTGGTGACACCCACAGCCACAGCAAAGCAATATGTTGATACACCAGCAGCACCCAGTCCCAGGGGGACAGGTGAGCAGATCAAAAGGGTGGAGGGAGAGAAAAAGGGAGTGGAGGGAGAGAAAAAGGGAGTGGAGGGGGAGAAAAAGGGAGAGGAGGGAGAGAAAAGGGGAGTGGAGGGGGAGAAACAGGGAGAGGAAAAGGGAGGGGAGAAAGGGAAGGTTGGGGAGGGACGGGTGCAGACAAAAACGAAAGGGGTGGAGGGAGGGGTGGCAGGGGGGGCGTTGTTACCAGCAGCAGCTGCACCCACAGCTACAAGCGCAGCAATCACAGCAACAGCCAGTCCCAGTGGAGCAAGTGTGCAGTCGAAAGGGGTGGAGGGAGGGGTTGAAGGAGGGGCATTGGAAGGAGTGTCAACGGCACCCACAGCAGCAGCAGAAGCACCAGCCAAGACCCCACAACTCCCTGTTGAGCCAGCCGCATGTGCCCCAGTTACAACTCAGGCTGCAGCTGTACCTCCACCAGTCGCACCTGCTTCTGCTGTAGCACCCTCCTCATCTGCCGCAGTCACCACGCAAGCTGCAGTTGTACCTACCCCAGTTGTGCCTGCTTCCGCTGTAGCACCCTCCTCATGTGTACCCGCTCCAGTTGCAGCCTCTCAAGTCTTTCCCAAGCCAGCCGCGCCTGTCCCAATCACCCCGCAAGCCGCAGTTGTACCTCCCCCAGTTGCACCTGCTTCCGCTGTAGTGCCCTCTTCCGATGTACCCTCTCCAGTTGCAGCCTCCCAAGTCAAGCCGCCTTCAGTTGTTCCTGCTGTGCCGGCTACAACTGCAGCTGCTACAGCTGCTTCTACAGCTGTTACTACAACCGCCTCAGTAGCTGCACCCGCCGCTGCTACAGCTGCTTCTACAGCTGTTACTACAACCGCCTCAGTAGCTGCACCCGCCGCTGCTACAGCTGCAGCTGTGCCCGCTGCTACTATACCTGCACCTGCAGCTGCTGCACCTGCACTTGATGCTGCAACAGCTGCGCCTGATATAGTCACACCTGGGACAGTAACGCCCGCAACAGTCACAGCTGCACTTACTTCAAATACTGCTGCTACAGATGCGCCTGTATCAGTGACTGCTGCTGCATTGCATGCAGTGGAAGCAGCAGCAGAGGAAGAGAGGAAGGGCGGGGAGGGAGAAAAGAAGGATGGGGAAGGAGAGAAGAAGGGAGGGGAGGAAGAAAAGAGGTATGGGGAGGGAGAGAAAAAGGCAGGAGAAAAGAAGGGAGAGGAGGGAGAAAAGAAGGGAGAGGAGGGAGAAAAGAAGGATGGGGAGGGAGAGAAGAAGGAAGGAGAAAAGAAGGGAGAGGCGGGAGAAAAGAAGGATGGGGAGGGAGAGAAGAAGGAAGGAGAAAAGAAGGGGGGGAAGGGAGAGAAGAAGGGAGGGGAGGGAGAGAAGCAGGTGGCAGAAGGGGCAGCACCAATAGCAGCTGAAGTGACAGCGCCAGCACCAGCACTAGCGGCAGCACCACCAGCGGCAGCACTGGTGGCAGCACCACCACCAGCAGCAGCAGCACTAGCGGCAGCACTACCAGCAGAAGCACCAGCCTCAGCAGCAGCAGCAGCACCAGCGGCAGCACCGGTGGCAGCACCAACGACAGTGGCAACACCAGTGGCAGCAGCAGCAGCAGCAGCAGCAGCAGCAACAATACTAGTGGCAGCACCAGCAGCAACACCAGTAGCAGCACCAGCGGCAGCAGCTGGAGAAATTAAGCAGCATGGCTTGGGAGTAGGAACAGGGACAGCCTCAGGAGTAGCAGCAGGGGAAAAGGAGGGAAGGGCCAAGGAGGAACTCAAGAGAATGGATGTAGATGGGGAAAACGCGGATGGGGAGATGGGGAATGGGAAGAAGGGGGGTGGGGATGGGAATAAGAATGGTGGCGAGAGGATGGATATAGATGGGGAAGGGCCGGGGGCAGCACACGGGGTGGTTAGTGGAAGGGTAGAGGGTGGTAAAGCGAGTGCTGAAGGGCGGGTGGACATGCGGCAGGAGAGTTAGGGTGTGATGGGTACTGTGCATGCAACATAAGGACGATTAACAGCTAGATGGGTAAGGAGGGCAGGTGGACATGCGGCATGACGAGAGCTAGGGTGTGCCGGGTAACGTGCATCTTGGTTCGATGCCTGCTGGGGCGGATTTTGCGAGATAAGAGACGGATTCAGCAGCTAGCTGTAGGGAAATCGAGCTTGTAAATAGGGCTGCAGCAGCACCAGCAGCAGGCAGCATATGCAGAAGCGGCTGTAGACTTTCCTGTAGCAGAAGCAGCTGTAGTAGGAGCAGCTGTAGCAGCAGTATACAGCCAAGTATAAGGAATGTGAGCTAGTATCGATTGTAATAGCAGTAGAAGTAGCTGGTGGCAAGGAGGAGTAAAGGGTTGGAGCATAGTTGGAGTGTAGTGGCCGTTTAGCTAAAGAAACAGGAGCGTGATTTTGAGGCGCCTCAAAAATAGTACCCAGTGGACTCTGGAGCTGGGATTGAAAATTGATAAAGAGAAGGAGCCTGGAGCAGAGTGAAGAGAAGCAAGAGGTATGGATGGGTGCTTAGAGGTATTAATCAGTTTCTGAAGTACGAATTGAGTATCTTTTCCGTCCCTGTTTTTTTTTTTTTTTTTTTTTTTTTTTTTTTTTTTTTTTTTTTTTTTTTTTTTTCTTCTTTTCTTTTTCTTTTTCTTTTTCTTTCCCTCAAGCTCTCTGTGTGCCGTTGTTAAAGTATCGTTACTGTACTACACTGCCCTCCGTCTCGCCTTGCCTTCAGGGCTCCAATAGGACACGGGCGGATGGGCATCACATCAGTTCACTGCAGTGCCAACACAAAAGAACCATTCGCCTTAAAAAGTCATCCTTTGAGAACGGTGATGGGAGTATGTGGAGTGGATGGATGGGATGTATGGACTGGGAATAAGGCGCTGGTGTGAGAGAGTTCTTGTCTGGAGAGTGCTTATGGAGAATGAACTCTACTCCATGCTCGATAGAAGAGTGGTCGCTCTGCGGATTGGTTGGGAGCGTGGTTGGTTGGCGCACATTTTATGGCGTGTGTTTGTGCCTCTGATTTGGTTCGGCCGGCACGGCGACAACCTTACCTGATTTGCTAACAATGCTGATTTTCGTTGGTTCACTGACTTGCAGATTCGCTGCCTAGACTGTACTGTCTCCTCGTATAAGAGGATACACTTAGGGTTGGTCACAGATTAAGTAGATGCTTTTGTTCTACTTAGCTAGCTAAGCTCTTCATTTCCCTTTGCTTGATCAATAAATTTCAGCATAACTGCTGCGATGTATTGTAAGGGAGTGCAGACCATGTTTGTCACATTCTGTGCAACATCTTGCTTAGTTCCTAAAGAATCATAAGGTGCAGATCCCTTCATCCGTGTGCCATGTAAATTCGTTACAAACAGCATTGACTACAATACACAAGCAATTAGAGATACACTCCTTTTTGTTCCTGACGTGGTTTCGCACGGTCTAGGCCTCATCACCGCCAACGCCAATAGCCATTGC